GGCATGGTGTATGCCCTCAAGTGCTCACAAAGTATGGATGGACCTCAAATAAAGGTATGATAAAGTTAATGGCTCTCATGTGTTATATCTTCACAAACACATTGCCATTTTGACTCAAGGGATATCCTCTATATCAACTTACTTCTCTAAATTGAAGGAACTTTGGGCAGAGTTTGATACTCTTATGCCCTCCCCTGGGTGTGGCTGTGAGGAGTCAAAGAAGTATGTTGAGCACTTTCAATACCAAAGGCTATTGCAGTTTCTAGTAGGATTGAATGAGTCCTACTCCCAGTTTAGTAACCAGATATTGAACATGCTACCCATTCCTTCTATTAATAGCCTATTCCATGATCATTTCTGAGGAGAGTAGAGGGTCTATGTGTCAGACATCCCAAATTGTTGAAGTAACTACCATGTTCAGTGGCAAAAACATAGGTGTACCAAACACTGGCACAGGTCTATTCAGTAGGAAAGGACACAATAACTCTTCAGGAGGCTCTTCATGAGGGAACATTTATACTAGAAGGAACAACTACTCTGGTGGACAGTCCTATGCTGGAGGAAACAATTATAGACCAAAAAAGAACTTTTTGTACTATGACTACTTTGACTATAAGGGACACACTAGAGAGAACTGCTATAAGTTAAATGTATATCTATCACGACCTAAATTAACCCTCCGTAAGGTGTCGTGATGGCACCTAGTCTTTACGACTAGGTAAGCCTAATATTACGAAAAATATAAATAAAACACAACATTTTAAAGATAAACAGCATATTGTGAATAGCCAAAAGTACTACCACTCGGCATATACAAAATAATTTTTCAAGACCCGAAATATCACTAAGTCACAAGCTGCTATAATCTATGTAGCTCTATACAAAAGTCTGAAGATAATAAAGAAAGTCTCTAAGCGAGGGAGTAGAAGGGGACTTCGAAGATCTGCGGACACAAGCAGAAGTACCTTGAAGTCTCCTAGAATCAGCAGCACGCACTAACCCCGAGGCTGATAACTCGCACCTAGATCTGCACAGTAAAACATGTGCAGGAAAGCGCATGAGTACACCACGATGGTACCCAATAAATGCCAAGCCTAACCTCGGTCGAGTAGTGACGAGGTCAGGTCAAGGTCCTACTGGAGTAAATATAATAAATTAAATAGTAAAAGATATAAGTAAAATTTACGGTAACACAGTTAAAGAAATTCTCAAAAATTTAACAGTTAAGGGAGCCCTCGACTCAGAACAAGGTAAACACAATGGGGATTCTCCCGGGATACCGTCCCGTAGTTCCAAATGAATATGCAGTACATGGGGATCTCCCAGAATACGTCCGTAGTCCCAAAGTAAATGTGCAGTGCTGGGGGATCTCCCGGAATACGTCCGTAGTCCCAAAGTAAATATGCAGTGCTGGAGGATCTCCCGGAATACGTCCGTAGTCGCAAAATAAATATGCAAGACAGGGGGATCTCCCGGAATACGTCCGTAATCCCAATTTTAAATATGTAACGCAGGATAAAATGACAGGTATGGCATCGAGTTATACAGTTTATACTGAACACAGATAGGTAAAGTAGGGACTTAACTAAGCATGGCGCACAGAATGTCAAATAGGCAGTTAAAACACATAAGCATGCTTCTCTAATCTAAGCTAAACAATTAAATGTATTAGTGCAATTTAATAAGAGAAAACAATTTATAATTTAGAAAGGAAAAACGAGTTTTTTTTTTTTGCAATAATAGCTCGTGTACGTACTTGTCACCTCACGTACATGATGCCCACACATCAATTAATATCAAACATCCTAGGGGAAAGTCCCCAAGACAAGGTTAGGCAAGCCACTTACCTCGAACCGCTCAAATCAACTCGATATCACGTTCTTGCCACGAGTATCCGACTCCAAATGGCCCGAATCTATTCAAATTAATTGCATAATGTAAATATAACTACAAGTAATTAATTTAACTAATTAATTCAAAGCTAAAGCATGAAATTAGGTAAAATGCCCAAAAAGTCTCCCCGGGCCGACGTCTTGGAATCGGGTAAAAATTATAAATTATGAACACTCGTTCACTCGAACAAAAATCATCTAAATACGATTTGGTGCTTCAAATCCACAAATCACACTTCTAAATCCCTAGCCTCTAATTCCCAATTTTCACCTTAAATACACACTAACTAGGTAGAAAAATACAGGAGGAAGCAAGATTATTGATCAAAAATAAGCACAAGGGACTCGAGCAAAAATCATCTAAATACGATTTGGTGCTTCAAATCCACAAATCAAACTTCTAAATCCCTAGCCTCTAATTCCCAATTTTCACCTTAAATACACACTAACTAGGTAGAAAAATACAGGAGGAAGCAAGATTATTGATCAAAAATAAGCACAAGGGACTTACCTCAAGAAATCTCTCGAAAATGCTCTCACAAATTGCCTTAAACCGAGTTGCAAAGTCCAACAATGACAAAAATCGCGAAGCCCCTTCGGTTTTAACCACTGTCCAGGTATTTCCGTACCTGCGGAGCCTGGACTCGCACCTGCAGGTGCACTTGTGAGGTAAAATATGCGCATTTGCACAAATCACTTACCCCCTCTGCCTTCGCACCTACGATGGAAGGGCCGCACCTGCGTGTGCGCGCCTGCGGAAATCCCTTCCGCTTCTGCGGACCTTGCGCACCTGCGATGACCCTAACACATCTGCGGACATCGCAGATGCGGAATTCACCTCGCACCTGTAACCCCTGGTACTCCTCCATTTTTTCGCTTCTACGCTTGCCTCTCCGTACATGCGATCACGCGCCTGCGGTCTCTCCACTGCAGGCGCGAAAATGACAGATGCCTGAAGACTTCAGTAGCAACTTAAATCCAACTTTTGATCCGTTAAGCACTCGAAACTCACCCGAGGCTCCCGTGACCTCAACCAAACATACCAACCAATCCTAATACACCATACGAACTTAGTCGAGTCCCCAAATCACATCAACTAAGGCTAAAATCATGAATCACCCTCCAATTCAAACTTAAAGAATTTGAAATTTCAAAATTCTACAACTGATGCCGAAACCTATCAAACCACGTCTGATTGACCCCAAATTTTGCACACAAGTCATATTCAACATTACGGACCTAATCTAACTTTCAGAATCAAAATCCGACCCCGATATCAAAAATTCCACTACCGGTCCAAAGCTCCGAAAATTCTATTTTCGCCAATTCAAGCCTAAATATGCTACAGACCTCCAAAACATAATCCGTACATGCCCCTAAGTCCAAAATTACTCAACATATCTAACTGAGTCAATAGAATTCTATTCCAGATCCGTCTTCACACAGTTCTGACTACGGTCCAAACTCTAAGGCTTACTCACAACGAGGGACTAAGTGTCCTAAAACTCTCTGAATTCCATAACCAATCACTCCAGGAAGTCCCAATAGCGGAAACAAACATGGGGAAAATAGTTATTAGGGGATTGGGGCTCTAATTCTCAAAATGACCAGCCGGGTCGTTACAATATCCCCCTAACTTTAAAGCTAAGAAGAAGTTTGGCTCAGGAAATACAGTGCATTATGCTCAGGATTCATCAAATGGTGCATGAAACAATCAAGTTGTTACTGCAACTAATTTTGCAGGTTCTTCACAGGTACAACATGGTGCTACAACTGGACAGGGGACTCAGAATGTGATGCTCAACATTCCTCAGTTCACTCAGGAATTGTATTAACAAATAATTCAACTATTGGGAAAATTGAGTGAAGGCAATAGTTCAACTACACCAGTGTCAGCAGGTGTGGCATCTTGTGTAGTGAACTCAGAAGTGTTGGCTAAGTGTATAGTAGACTCGGGTGCTTCAAGCCACATGGTGCAGTCTTAATCTGTTGATTAATCTTAAGTTGTTTGCTAATAATAAGGATGGCACAGTTCAACTCCCTACAGGAAACATAGCTCACATCAGCCATATAGGATCCTCCTATGTCAAAGGATTAGTAATGTACTACATATACCTGATTTCAAATACAATTTACTCTATGTCTAAAAGATAACAAAGGAGATGAGATGGGCAGTTATGTTCTTTCCTGAATTCTGCATTTTTCAGGAACTCTCTAGTGGACAGGTGAAGGGATTGGTAGAGAAAATATGGGTTGCATGTATTCTACTTTGGAGATGTTAGTACAACTGGATTTCAAGTTCCCAGTACAGTTCCTAAACCATTGGCTCCTAAAACACCACCTACTGTAAATATGATTAAAAAACAACAGAATAATGCATGTAACCTTGTGGTATAAGAGATTAGGGCATACACCGAAAAAGTTTTTGAGGAACATAGCGGTATTTCAGGACTGTGAATGCAAGAATACTACTGAATCTTGTACTGTGTGTCCTTTGGCAAAATAGACCAGGCTTCCTTTTCCTTTGAGCATTACTAACACTAATGTTTGCTTTCATACATTGCATGGTGATGTGCGGAGACCGTATAGAGTTCCTACTTATGATGGCAAGAAGTATTTTCTTACTCTTGTAGATGACTATTCTAGATATTGCTGGATATTTTTGTTGCCTACGAAGGCAGAAGTGATTGTTGCTCTTAGATCCTTTCTTTTAATGATTCAAAATATCTATTCAGCCTCTGTGAAGATCTTTAGGTCAGACAATGGGAGTGAATTTCTTAACTCTCAAGTGGCTGAGCTACTAAAGTCTAAAGGAATTGTTCATCAAAGCTCTTGCATATATACTCCACAACAGAATGGGGTTGCAGAGAGGAGACACAGGTATATTTTAGAGGCTGTCAGGTCTCTAAGTTTTCAGGCAGATGCTCCTCTTAGATCCTGGGGAGAGTGTACTACCACAACTGTGTATATCATAAACAGACTGCCCTCAGCTGTAATTCAAGAGAAATATCCTTTTAAAGTTCTACTTGGTCATGCTTCTTCATAGAGCATATGAGAGTAGTTCCAGCTGTCTTCTAAGGCTATTCTATGATACAAAAGGCCTATAAAATGTATGGTATTCACTCTAGGACCTTCACCGTCAGTAGAGATGTAGTGTTGAAGAAAGATGTATTTCCTTTCAAGTATGCTCACACTACCTCTTCTATATTTTCTGTCTTGGATCTCACTTCTACTATTCTCTCGTATCCTGAAAATAAGTCATCATCTCAATACCTTTCTTCTACTAATTCTTCACTTGGTGATGAGATTCCACTCAACAATACAACAAGTGAAACTGTAGCAAATACTGGTGGCAATTCAACTGCTGGTGGTCTTTATTTCTCAGTGTCTATACCTATTGAACCAAGCTTTCACTTCTCTCCACCACTGCCTACTCCTGATCCTCCTCTTAACAGGAAGTCTAACAGAGATAGCAGGCCACCTATTTGGATGAGGGACTATGTCACTCGCAACAAAAGGAAGTCACATTGATGCTATCCTATCTCCAAATGTGTTAGTTATGGTAATGTTTCATCATCTTTTGGTAGTGGCTTGGCAGCTTACTCAGTCATTTTTGAACCTAAGACATTTGCTGAAGCTGTCAAAGACTCTAAGTGGATTGCTGCAATGAAGAATGAAATCTTAGCTCTGGAGAAAAATAACACTTGGAGTATAGTAGATTTGCCTCCAGGATAGATGCTCATTGGCTGCAAATGAATCTTTAAGGTTAAGTACACTTCTTCAGGAGAGGTTGAAAGATATAAGGCAAGGCTTGTAGCCAAAGGCTACAACCAACAGGAAGGTCTGAATTATACTGAAACTTTTTCTCCAATGGATAAAATAGTGACTGTGAGGTCTGTTTTGGCCATAGCTGTTGCCAAGCATTGGTTTATCTATTAGATGGATGTCCATAATGCTTTCTTGCATGGAGAGCTGCTTGAAGAGGTCTACATGGAGGTTCCTCCTGGTTTTGCCACCCAGGGAGGGAAACAGATGGCTTGAAAACTTCATAAGTCCTTGTATGGGCTTAAACAAGCCCCTAGACAATGGAACAAGAATCTTACAGATGCATTGGTTCAACTTGGATTTACTCAAAGTCATTTTGACTATTCATTATTCACCAAAAAAGTGCAGACAGAATTGGTACTAGTACTAGTCTATGTTGATGATCTTTTGGTAATAGGAATCAGTCCAAGTCTGATCCTACATACTAGAAATGATCTAAAGCTCAAGTTTAAGATGAAAGACCTAGGTGAACTTAAGTTCTTTCTGGGGATAGAGTTTGCCAGTCAAAGTAAGGGATTGTGATGAGCCAAAGGAAGTATGCATTGAAGTTAATTGCTGAACTAGGACTTGGTGGTGCCAAAACCTGCTGGTACACCGCTGGAGACCAGCTCTAAGCTCACCTCTATTGAGTTTGATAGTTTCATGAGCAAAGATTCCTCTAATGGAGCTGATACAGAAGACAAAGAACTAGATAATGTCGGTCCTTATCAAAGATTGATAGGGAGACTTTTGTATCTTACTATGACCAGGATTGATATCTCATCTGTAGTTCAAGTACTTAGTCAGTTTATGCACATACCTAAGAATTCTCATATTGATGCTGCTCTGAGGGTTGTCAGGTATATCAAGATAGCTCTGGGACTTGGTCTATTAATTCCTTCAGAAGGATATGAGAAACTTGAAGCCTATTATGACTCAGATTGGGGTGGTTGCTTACAAACAAGAAGGTCAGTAACATGATATATAGTTAAGTTTGGTGATGCATTGGTATCCTGGAAGTCTAAGAAGCAGGAAACAGTTGTTAGAAGCTCAGCTGAAGCAGAATTTAGAAGCATGGCTTCAACAATTGCAGAATTGACTTGGCTTACAGGATTGTTCTCAGAGTTGGGAGTGAAGTTGTCTTTGTCTATAGACCTTCACTCTGACAGCAAAGCTGCAATCCAGATTGCAGCTAATCCCATATACCATGAAAGAACCAAACATATTGATATTAATTGCCACTTTTTGAGGGAAAAAAATGTACAAGGTTTGATCAAGACTCATCATGTGCCTACCAAAGAACAACTAGTTGATTTGCTGACTAAGAGCCTTGGGAAAGTGCAACATGACTATCTGATGTCCAAGCTGAGATTATAGGATCTGTTTCAACCATCAGCTTGATGGAGGGTGTTGAAATATTTAGTTATAGTGTTAGTTGTAGTGTTAGAATGTACACATGGATGCCGGCTAAGCTAAGTTAGTGGAGCATTAGTTAGTTAAGTAGATACTTAGTGGTAGCTTATTTTATATATAAATATACACTAGTGTACAATGTAATAACGACTTCTAACAGAAATGAAGAGAGATGTTCTTCTTCTCAGTCTGTGCGTAACTGCTTGTCCTTCTCCATAGCTCAGCAGCTCAATTTAGATCTAGGATTTCATCAAAAGTGTTAGAGATATTTTACTTAATTATATCATTACCACCTCATCTCATGTCACATGCATTTCTAATTATTTTCTATGGGTCAAACACTTAAAAAAATGATGGATGGTAGTGAGACTTGAAATCAAGACTCTGCTTAAACAGTGTGACCAATACATTTAAAAGATTAAACTGATAGAGATAGTTAACTTGTATTAACCAAATTAGATCTTCAACATGCAAGAAGTCAACATATTTCAATGAGAATGGGTTACCAACAAATCAGTTTTTTCAGAAGTGAAATGTAAAGAATCCCCGATCACAGCCAAAATTGACTGATTAATTTGTTCTCTTTCTAAATGAATACAGATAAGGTTTTAACCTTTTGTATGGAGTTATAAAGTCATTTACTCCAGTTACTAATCTCTAAAACTTAAAAGTAATTGAACTACGCCATAAAAAAGCAGTCTTGCTAGTTGCTACACTAGTAACATAATGAAGATGGACGCTGATGTAAGTTCTTCATTTTTGCATCAGCGATTTATATATGAGCGTCTCTTGCAAGCAATAATACTCAATATTCATTAATATTGTAAACGTCGGAAAGTGACTATATATAGTCCAACGTGACACAAAATAAAGTTATAGACAACAATTTTACGGAAAAAGAATAGGAAAATGGCCACTACTATTATTTTCAAATCAATTACCCTGGAGATATGTTACAAATTAACCTAGCTACTCTATACTCAACTGCTCATTCTGCACAAAATGGTGGTCAAACTTTAATCAAAACTGAAGTAACACCTAATGTTACTATGATTACATGTTTTATGACATGAAAAAACAGAAAGAATATATGAGAGAAAAAAAATTATGAGCGGAGTGTAAGTGATCAGGACATTGTTGGTTTAATTATATTTTGAAAGAATTACAAGAAAATACACGTGACTTCACACTATAACAAAAAATGGCCCATGTTTTTAAATTTTACCAACCTAACCCATATTATACATATTTTGAAAGCACTAGCAAATTCAAAATATGTGCTCTTACAACCATTGCTTCTAAAAGCTATGGAGTTAAATCTGTGTTCTCACAACGATTGCTTTCACTCTCTCTCTTCTTCTCACGTCTTCTACATATGCTTCAAGGGGCCATGTATTTTCTGCTTTCCCCGTTGTGTCACCTGGTTGCAATGTAAGAAAATTGAAGAGTAGAAGTCCATCATTGAAGGCCATTCAAAGCTTTACTTTCGAAAATATGATTTTTTGAGTTTGTTATTTGTTTGGATTGGGTGATGTTCCAATTGATTGAAAATATCAAAAGGAGTTCAAAATTTAAATTTGAAGTGATTTGGAGTATATTTGTCCAATATTTGAGTTAAATTTCAGAAAAGACGCAAGGAAGAAGACGAAGTCATTTTTTGTATTATTATGTATAATCTTGTATAATAGTGTATATGAGTGTATAAACACATCTTATACACTATTATATACCTTTATACAAGCGTCTATAGACGAACTTCTTCCACGATTTTTAGTTGCAATTCTGGTTCAAAACCAGTCCAAATCTCCATTAAATGACTTCAAATTTTATATACAACCTCCTTATATTATTTCTAACAAGTCTAAATAACACCCACTCCAAAATTCTCATAAAATCAAATTCAGAATTTAAACTCACATATTTAAGCTTGTTAAAAATCTAATTTTCACCACCCAAATGGATTTGGTTTGTTGAACTAATATTGAGTCACAGTTACTCATTCGAAAATTAACTTAAAAGATTGAGCAATCTTTTTTAAAAATTAAATAGTAATTTCGACAACCTATTGGAGTTAGATGTTGAATCTTAGCCTATTATTTTTGGGTTAGTTGGTTGTAAATTGAAAGTGGACTATAAAATTTGAAAGTAGGGAGCCCAGTCGTTCTTATGTGAAATTTTCCCTTATATTTTCATGATGAGCTATTTAATGAGTAAATTATTCCAAAGAACATTCTGTTACATATAAAGACCCAATTCTACTGAAACTTAAAGCTAAAAGCTGCAAAATTAAAGTTTGGAAACAAAGCCATTTTCCAAAGCAAAAGGGCTCCCTCCTTCACATCCCCATGTCTCTTGCGTGCTTGCTTTCTTCTCTCCAGTGTCTTTGCCATTTTGACATTTACGAGTAATTTAGGTTTGCGTAATCTAATTAAAATTTCTTGTTAATAACATGTGATTGGATGTTACTCACAAGTTGAAGAGGTACTCACAAGTCACAAAGGTCAATGCTTGAAGTCATGAAATCCTTCAATCTATGTCCGGTGTAAAATATTTGAGGATGTAATATAGCTAGTAATTAATCATTTTACAGATTTAATTACAGATTTCTCAAACTAGTTTAGAAACCTCGTATCGTTTATGCTTCCTCAATTGTTGCTGTTTTACCCATTGTTTGTGTACTCAACAGTGGTACTATATATAGCACCCCATTTTTATGTGTGTCTATATATTCGTGTATCTAATTAAATCAAATATCGTCATATAAAATAAAAGTTAAGAAATATATTTTGTATTGAGTGTGAACAACTAATTTTTGACCACACTCGAATTCTATACTATTTTAGTGTAAATATTTCTTTTAGGTCTAATCTTGATATTTAAACTTTT